GGCTAAGGGAATCCAGGCTGCCCTTTGCAAAGATGGCAAGCTGCAGCTTCCCTACCATAAATGAAGCTGCAGCTGCCATCTTTGCAAAGGGCAGCCAGTCTCCATTCTTACATGTGTAGCTCTGAGGCCAGAAAACCTCGGCAGCAACAATTAAGGTAAGAGGGTGTTGGTGGGAGTGGGGTGGCGTGGGGCTTAAAGTAGGGAAAGGAAGGAGTGGGGTAGGCTGTGGTATTGGGTGGCTGTGTGGGGTGGTGGCTGCCTTTCTGCAGAATGGTGGTTTTGTGTTTGGGGGGGGGTTAATACGAAGGACGAATAAAAACGTGTAAATATTCACCTCATTATTAATGCCACATTATGACTTTATTCTAAGTTTGACATTTCCAGAGTAAAACACTCTGTAATTATCTAATTCAAAATACCCTATTCCAACCCATTCTAGTTCATTCATGCCAAGTATTGCAGTGTTCAAAAGTTCTGTTTCTTGTTTTATGATTTCAAGTTCCCTTGATTTGTACTTTATAGATTCTGTGTACTCAGTTATATGCAACATGCCCAATACATTTTCTCTTGTGCTTCTGTGCACATCAGCTACTAGATATCCTTTCAGCTCTAATCCAATTGCTTTGTTAGCAACAGCACCATTTGTTCTTATTCTTCCCTAGAAGCCAGCCAATTGCCTTCTGAACTGGAGTCTCACCTTCTAGTACTATCTTCTGTTTTGTTTTGGGTTCTCTCATCATAGGGTTTTAGACATATGAAATGTCTAGAAGTTCTTTATCATTGTCATCTTCTATTTATATATTTTAAATATTTATTTTAAATACTTTCAGCTTATCATCTAAAAAAAACCCCATGGTGGCTTACATCATTAAAAACTCTACATCAAAATATAAAATTAGTTAATTATTGAAATAGTAAAAAAATGAAATAAGCATTATAATGAAAAATACTATGTAAAAGTATTGCAAAAGCAGATTTAAAACCAATAAATATGAAAACTGTCTCATTTTAACATCTCTCTTAGCCAATCACTAAGGAAAAGCCTGCCTGAAGAGAAAGGTCTTTACCTGCTTAAGGAAGGATAGTGAAAATGAGGAGGATAATGTGATCCTTGTAACCAGTCCCAGTTAGCAATCTGGCTGCAGCAGGTTGGACCTGCTAAGGTTTCTGAACACTTTCCAAAGGCAGTCCCATGTAGAGCACATTACAGTAACCTGGCCAGGATGTGACAAGCCATGTGTCACCATGGCCAGATCAGACCTCTCCAGGAATAGATGCAACTGGTACACTAATTTCAACTGTGCAGAGGCCACTGTGGAGACCTAGGCATCCAGACTCAGAGACAAAACCTGGAGCGTCCCCAAGCTGTGCACCTTTGTTTTCAGAGGGAGTGTAACTTCATCTAGCAGAGGCTCAAACTCTATTCCTTGATCTGACCAGGAACACTTCTGTCTTTTCTAGATTACATTTCAGTTTATTTGCCCTCACCAATCTTCTACTGACACCAGACACTGATCTAGAACTGAAACAGCTTCCTTCGATTTTGATAGAAAGGAGAGATAAAGTTTTGTGTCATTCACATACTGCTGACACTGACTCCCAAAATTCTGGACAACCTCCCCCACCTTCTGAGTTCTGCCCTTTAGGAAGGACAGGAAGCACCATAAAACAGTGCCTCCAAGTCCTATCCCAGAGACCATGGTTGATGGTATCAAAAGTTACTGAGAGATACAGCAGAACCTACAGGGGCACACTCCCCCGTCCAGTTCCTGGTGCTGCCTAGTAGCTGCCGTTCATGAGTTTCTCCACCTGCATCATCAGTCAAATTATTTTCTGCTGATGCAACCATGAACTCCTGAAGAGGCTGGATGCAACTCAGCTTTGATCATTTGGTCTTAAGTGACCCTGGAAGGATAGCATTACTCTCCACGGCCCTGACAACACTAAGAACTCACCAGTTTAAGGTGTGCATCCAAAAGCAAGCTAACCTACACTCCAAACATTTCTTACATTTGTATTACATTAATATTTCAAGGGATTTTGACTTAGATAATATGAGATAAAAATAAATGAAAACATTAAGGAAGTATAGTATAAAGCATACTATATCTAGCATTGCACATCACTACCTAATGGTGACTCAATTAATTTTTATATACTGGTCTCCAAATTACATTGTGGAAGATGTAAACAGCTACAGTAAACTTATCTTACATTTCCACAATAAAGATCAATAGTACCGCACATTCAAAGTGGGATGGGGGGAGGGTGGCAGGCCTGACATAATGTTCTTATGAATCTAAAGCCACAGAAAACCAATATCTATGTACATAGCACAGAAATAAAGCAAATTGTTGAGGGTTTGGTTTTTCGAACATATGAAAGGGCAAAGGGTAATGCATCAGCAGGGAGTCAGTAACCAAAAGCATGAATATCCTTTGAGCTGCAGAATCAATAACAACTTCCTCTAACCATGTTGTCCACCTGAATGCAGTCTAATAATACCATTCTGAACAACTCTTGACTGAAAAAGGAATGGCACATTCAAAAAATCCATACTCTTTTGTGGATTCCACGAGGACTGGTGGCAAATGAATGGAACACATCCTGAGGCAGCAAAGAGTGAGGAAGGTCTGGATAAATTGAACTTCAGTCAGGTGATAAGGAAGTATTGTGCTTTATCCATTCGGTGTTAAGAAATACAGTACAGTAAATAATGAACACATGGCAGCCTGAGAACACTGTGTCTTATTACTCAGGAATGTTCAGCACTAGGCCAGAGATGGCATAATCCCCATGCATACTGCTCCTTCTGATTAAGAAGCAAGCAAAGACATGGCTATAGTTTTATATGCCATAGCCACGACTTCACAATATGTGACATTTGTCTGGATATATTGTTAATAGAAATAAATGATATTTAAAGAACTTTATGTGCATCCTCTTAAAACGGACTTCCAGAAAGGTGGGAGGCAGCAGGAAAAGAGGAAGATCAGATAACAGATGGACAGACTTGCCAAAGTAAGCCAAAGGCTTAAGTTTACAACAGCCAAGCAGAGTAGCTGTGTACAGGACATTTTGGGGGTTGTTCATTCATAGGGGTGCCATAAGTTGCAAGCAACTTGATGGCACATAACAACAACAACAGCAACAGCAAAGTGAATCATCTAATTGAACTCTTCACAAAAATGGTTGTTGTGGTTTTTTTCGGGCTCTTTGGCTGTGTTCTGAAGGTTGTTCACGAATACATCTTCACAAAAATGTTGTAACTTATCAGAGCAATTCTAATTCAAAGAT